CTTACGAAGCAACAACGCGATGAGCTATTCGCGATACGCAGTAAACGTTTTCAGTTCTAGTGGAAGGCGGCGGAGTTCCAGTGGACGGTTGTTCTAGAAATACTGGAAGTATTAAAGCGATATTGCTTATTATGTGGAGGAGTTTAACTTTCCAGTATATTTACATTATTTATGGACGGTAGACTGAATTGACCGTCAGTTTAAGAAATACTAATACCGAGGATAGCTGTATTAATAGCCTTGATATTGCACTTATTTCATGTGGAGTCCGCTTAACATTCTAGTTTAACCTTTTACTGCGAGTATATTTACATTATTTTATGATAGAACATCTTAAGTGCATTTTATAGACTAAAGTTTCTATTTATAATGCGTTATTACAAAGAATATAAGTAAACATTTAAAAAACAAGTTAAACGAATGCTGTCAACAAAATTCCTGCGAAATCAAATATCGTAGATTTCTACACTGATGCTCTAAATTTAATTAAATTAATCAAAATTAAACTTCTTGACTAAACAAGAAAATAAAGGGTGTTGACTAAAATTCATACGAAATCAAATCGGGTCTCATAAAATCCATCAGCGATTGTCTAAACTGATATAACTAAACAAATATAATAACGGCTATCAAAAAAATACATACAAAATCACATCTCACAGAATCCGAAAAGATGCTCTAAATTTAATAACTTAGAATAAACTTGATTGATAAATTGGCTTTTAAGTGTCTAGAAAGTTTAAATTGATTAACTTCTAAAATTTAAGTGCTTTTTAGTAGGTACGCCTCTTACTTTTATTTTGGTAAATTGCATCTACAGCTGCGTTTTTATGCGAGTTTCGAAAACTTTAATACCATTTCTTTTATGTTATTGTTGTGTTAGCATATTATGTATAGATATTATTGGCAAATAGTGTGCAATTTATAGTTTAAAACTGATAGTTCGCCGACGTGCGAGGCTTAAAAGCAATAATTTACCATTGAAAATGAACTATCATTTATAATTACTACGAGTTATTAAGGTATTATAAATGATTACTACTGAATAAAGCATAAAACTGTAGAACTGTTTATGCTTTATTCAAATAGAATTAAACATGAATTTCGAATATTGAATATTATTTTTTTAAATAAATATTCAAGATTCTACCTAAGAAAGAATTACCAAACTACAAATACAAATAAAATACTTTATTCAACCGAAGCTAAAGTCAACCTCGAAAACATTTATGAAGCCCTTATTTAATTGAAGGGTTGAGTTTTCTTTTGATTTCAACTAAAATTTTTACAGAGGCTGTTTGCCCATTTTTAGACGATTTTCATTTCAATTACAAAAATATTTTACCAAATTTCGATGTTTTAAATGTTTTATTTGATACCCCTTATTCTTCACTATCTTTATACATCTTAATTTACAAGTCAATAAAGCCTTTTGTATTATCGAAAGAGGTATTTTATCCCATTGCTCTCGAAAAGCTTTCCAAAGTCTAAGAGGTCGACGTTTGGACAACCCTCTAAAAGTCCAAAAGTACAAAAATACATTGGTGATAGATCAGGAAACTTAGTAGGGATATGAGTGAAAAATATGGCCTTGATAACCGATTTTCTTGTTCCATTTCCTCTAGAAAATTAGCAGTGGATTTTGACATATAGCTGATTGACGCAGTTCTACTGATTGAGGCATTGTGGGTAAAGAGAACGTATTTCATATTTGAAAATTGGGTATAAAATATATTCCTGAGAATATGTATAGTTGACTTTAACAGTTTTTTGTTTTAATTTATATTTGCTGTTATTATCAAAAACAAACAACAATCATAAATCTCCTTGAAAACTTTCTTTATATTCCTTGAACCATGTTCTAAGATTTTTTTCTCCTTTCTCATGATAATAAATGGATCTCTTTTTATTGCAGTCATTTAAATACACCCAATATTCATCTATTTTGACAATATTTTTCCATTTTTCCCGGGTAAATGTTTCTTGTAAAGAACTCTGAAGCGCGTTTTGCAAATATGTTGTGGAGAAAGACTATGCACATTATGTTTTTTCGCCTTTTTAAGATTCAAAAGAGCATTAATCACTTTTTTGACAGATTTTAATAGTTTTCAACTGTTCTTTGACTTGGCGGTTTTCTTTTAACATTAAAGATCTTACTTTTGCAACATTCGAAACATTCCGTTTACCTTCAATATGTATTTGGGACGATTTTTTTTCACTTGAAGGCAAATGTTGAGTTTTTTCCCTTTGTTATTAACAACTTTACCTACCGTAGCTTTAGATACCAAAACTCCATGGCTTTCACAACGTTTTTTAATAACTAGATGCGAATCATTTTCTTCGGAAAGAACACAACCATAGACTTCCATCCATTGCTTCCTTAAAAGCGACATTTTTATGAAAATAAATCTGTCAAGTAGCAAAGGATAATTTATACTTTCAAAAATATAGTTGCACTTAAAAAAATCCAAGCAGAAGATTTTTTACAGCAAAGCAAAATCGTCTAAATCGTATGCGAACAGCCTCTGTATACAAGAGTTGTGTGATAAATATGTCGAATGGGCCCGTGGTTTCGGTGTATGTCGAAATAATTAAAAATGGATTATACTTATTGGTGCACTTGGTTTATTGCATACGTCACATGCGCATCATTAGTCATCTGTTTTATTTACAAACAGAAATATGATCAAATGTAAATGAGGGCAGCGATGGACTTGCCGCCATTATGAACTCATTTACGCCTGAGGTTTGATGAAAAGGTTTTGTTGACTCTTTCCTCTGATTGTCGTAGACTTGTCCTAAAGGAATGTGTCTTGAAATTTGCAGCAGTGAATGGTAGTCTTTTCTGCGAAAGACTGGAATATTTAAAGGGAAAATACTAAAGGGGAAAAAAACAGATAAAAAAAATCTGAAAGGTTTCAGATTTTAAATTACGTCCAAAGGGGCGTTTTTTAACGTTTTGTGTGCTACCTTTATTTATTAAATATCATGTTCTTTGCACTTAAACCATAAAAATTCAGTTCAATAGCAATGTCGCAAAATAATTTTAAAATGAGCCTATCTTTAGAATTTCTGATACACAGTTCCACGCCTGGAAATAAAAAGGTTCCCCGCCCCTTAGAGTGTTGCCATTGCTCGCTTTGAAATCCTTGAGTTTGTTAATCAAAAATTCGTTAAAGTTTTACAAATATGTAATCGATCATAAAACTTTCAAATTTTTTCTTCCACATGCCCATATTCGTAGGAGGATTACGTCCAAAGTTCGATGGCTCTATGTACCGTTGTTTTATCACAATGCGAAAAATATACATACATTTACGCAGATTTTTCATTGTTTAATTTCTTCAAATATAATGCAGGAATCTAACATTTGGTAGCAACAGTTTGAAAAGTGAAACGAACATTTACAGTGATTCAACGCAAAATCGCAAAACGAAAATAGCCCTTCAGGGACAAAGCCCCTTTGGACTAAAAAAAAATCAGTTTGATAATTCAGATGGTATATGTTGCTCACTTTCCGCTTTTGTTATTTTCACACGTTCTATCCCCACACGGAGAAGCCCTGTGCTTCAGTTCTTGAAGTACAAAATGCATTTTCTTCGTGGCTTTACAACCAACTCAACGAGTTCTACAGCAGAGGAATTGACAGGCTAGTGTGCAATGTCGTCACAACTAAGGAAACATGCCAGAAAAAAAACTGCATCTGTTTGAATAAAATATGAACCACTGAGAAAAGTTCAATTATAGTAATTACATCAAGTAATCAGTACATGTGCAACAAAATTCGAAATACCTGAAACACTGGAACCACAGCAGTACTGCTAGATAAGTTTTAATATATTTATTTTCCTTATAATGTGAATAATCAGTAAGCCAAATATATTTTCCTTATAATGTGAATGAAAGAATTTTTCGTTTTTGTTTATCTTCATTTCCTTTTTTTTTAATGTAAAGTGCACTATTACTATCTTAAATCAAAGTAAAAACGGCATTTTCAAGCAAACTTTAACAAATTAATTTTTAATAGCCAAAACACACTACCTATTCCAAACTCCTAAAATAAAGCAATGAAATATGAAAGGCTAAAGCAAATAATAATAAGCACTAGGAATCGGAGTTACGTGAGTAAGTTTTATAGGTCTCGGTTTTCAAAGAGTAAGCGGAATCTCAGCTACAGAAAATAAAATGGCGTATAAGAAACATGTGCGTTTATAAGAGCAACGGAAAATGTTCTGGCTAAATGATAAAATAGACTCTAAGATTCTTCTGGTAGAAAAAAACGCGAAACATCTTGCAAGAATTCGAACCACGGATCATCGGACTTCTAGCTGGACGTGCTACCACTTACATCGCAAAAACACTCTCAGAGTAATGTGATAATTCTTTATATCCTCTTTACTTGGAAAGGTGATTAAGAGCCATGAAACCCAGCTAACAAATCCAAATAGTGGCAAGTTACTGCCCACTCATTTTAGTTTAGGCACCACTGTATAGGTATTTAGATTTTTGTGTGTAGGGAACACGAAAAACCAGCTATGTTGCCAGGATTCAAATCATTAACCCTCCAGTTCTTAGAGGGATCTGCCAATCACTTACAGAGTATGTACAGCGGAATGCTGCAATTTCTTACAAAGCTTTTTTTCCTCAATGACAGTTGCTAGCCGTTATTGTTGTTGGCCACTACTATGGGCGGAAGTAGTGGTCACTTTATTATGGCAGCACCAAAGAGTTGGGCTATTGTTGCATTCTATGAAGGAACAGCAATGTACATCCATGCCTTCTCCGGAATTCGAACCCGGGCCCTTTAAGTACGGCATCGAGAATCACTAACCAATTTCTCAAAAAACAACTAAAAAATAATTGCCTGAAAAGCTGACAGTAAATGATGATTATAATTGGGTTCATTAACTAGAAGTGAAAGATTTTTATGATGTTCATATTGAACACAATGGACAAATAATTTTTCTCATTCTTCCACAAACCTCGTATTGTTCCTTTAGGTACTCTCCATTGGCCGGTGACCTATTGGCCAACCCTCTACTGGCCGGCACTGCCATAAATGGCTCAGGATGGTGCATATTCGTCTACAACTTAGCTCCGGACACTGAGGAAAACCTTCTGTGGCAACTATTCGGTCCCTTTGGCGCGGTGCAGAGCGTCAAGGTCATTCGGGATTTGCAAACCAACAAATGCAAGGGCTTCGGTTTCGTCACCATGACTAACTACGACGAAGCGCTGGTCGCCATTCAGAGCCTCAACGGATACACCTTAGGCAATCGTGTCCTTCAGGTATCCTTCAAGACGAACAAGTGCAAGTCTTAAGCGTCGTTGTCACCTCGGGATACCTAATATAACGGCTACCTCGATCGTCAAAACAAAAACAACACCCAGAATTCTCCTTTCTTTTCGATCTCTCTTCTTTCTTCTCCACTTTTATCAACTATTCTGTCCGAAGAGGAACTAGCTTTTTTTTTTTTTTTTTTTTTTTTTTTAATTTCATATGCGAGTGCTTCTGCATTCCTTAAAAATATTACTCGCATTTTCGTTGGATCATTCACGTTGTGCGTTCGCATGCAATTGAATTCGATTTCATATTTTTAACAAGTCTAATTTTATTATTACTTACTTTTCATTTTTGACTTTAAAAAAAGTATACGTCTTTGTTTGGTAAAAACCAATGAGAAAAATTAAAGCTGTTCCTCTGCTTTGATTTAAACATTCTCTCAGAGTACAACATTGCTACTTTAATTGTTATCTGTTACTTGTCGTGAGATCCTTTTTTGTAATCACGTTAGTTTTCTGAACTGTAAAAAATGTTCAAATTTTGCATTTTACAAGTACCATTACTTATTTTCTAAGTTGTGATTTGCAGTCTATCAACTTTTAGTCATTAAAATTATATATTCAGCTGGGAGATAAGTATTGGCGAGATGAAACTAACAGAGAACATTAATTGAATAATATAAAAAATTTAAAAAATTGTGTTTGTGTAAGTCTTAAAAAAAGATTTAAGAATACCTCTATCATGCAATGTAATATAATAATAATTGTTTGATTATTTATATAATACAATTTATGTAAATATGAAATGATTATGCATTTGAAATGACAGTAAGAATATATAACGTATGATTTACGTAATATATTCAAGTACCAATCATCTGTAATCATCCATCAGTGATGTCGTTCAGCTGGCGAATAATATCATCATCGTCTGTATATTTTATAAATTTTGTAAAAATCATAAAAGATAATATACTTATTGATCAGTATAGGTTTAAATTTAATGCCAAATGTATTTTATTTTTTTCCTTCAAATTTTTAATACTGCTTTTCTGATAAGTTCTCAGTTAATATGATTTTGAAAAAATACCATTTTCTAGTCATTGTAACTTATTCTCTATTTATTATTCAAAATATTTATTTTATTTTATTTTTTCGTATTTAATTTCTTTTAGTTTTGTGTTTCTTTGGTTTCTTTATTTTGCATGGATATGTATTTTCCCTTTTGTTTTCATTTGCATTGTAGATTTCTTAATGATAATTAAACTTTTGTTCTTTTGATTTATGCATTTTTGCGTTTATTTTTTTCGTGCGTTTGTAAAAATACGTTTTTAATGCATGGAGACTTCAAATCAAACATGAATTTTGCATGCACTGAACTTACTACAATTATTTTTTAAAACTAAAATTTTAAATTAACAAAAAACGTGTCTCAATTATTAAATCATTTACTATTTACATAAATTCATTCAGTACTATTTCATTCATTCTAAAAGTATATTCTTTAATTTTTAAGACATCTGTAATCTCAAAAAATCTCAATTAAGATTATCCAAACGCAGATAGACAGTTATATTGTTCTGCATATATCATGAAAAATCAGTAAATATTTTCCAAGATATCTTGGTTAATAAAACTGGCCGGGCTCATTGCAATAGCCTATTCATAATTTAAGCAAAATAGTTCGAATTCTCTTTTAATTCCGAAAAGTGAAAGACATTTTGTAACGACTGTTGAATCTTTTGCAAATATTATTTAGTTCGAAAGCCTTGAAAATGTATTAATTTAATTTAGATACTTGTATATCAGTCTCAGAAACTAGAAAAGGCTGGATTTCCTGTTCCGAAGAGAACTTATTACTGAAATTACCACATAAATTTATGGGAACACATTTTAAATACCTAAGCATTACTTCGTTAATTTGCAAAAGATAATTTCTAAAATTCCAGACAATACTAGACAAGGCATTCCTAATTGATGAAAGATATAGTATAGCTTTTTCTATAATTTTCAATGCATGGTAATTTATTTCACATTCATTTCTAACATTCTATATGAATATGAGGAAAGGCGCTTTTCTGTTACTAAACGCATAATCTTTTTAATTGCTTTTTATGTCTTTTTTTAATAAATTATTTTGTACTTCAGGAAATACATTTATTATTGTCATAGAAAATTTTAATTCGTAGGAAAAGATTTAAAAAAAGTAAAGTGTAAAGAAGATCTAATAATTATAACAATTTATAATAGAATTATTTGCTTTCAGTTCACAGTGGATACATTCATTTCAGTTTAAATGAGAATAGTTTAAATTAAAATAACGACAATTTACCTTCGCCAACATTCCAAACTAACCCATCCTAATGAATAAATAATAATCGACTTGATCATCCGTTACTAACAGATAAATAATGGTCATCGTGATCATCCGTTCCTAATGGATAGAAAATAATCATCTTGATCACCCGTACCGAAGGATACAGAATAACTAGAAATCAAAAGCATTGCATTTGAAAAATTTCAGCTGTGTTCTTATTTCAAAACCAGATTTTCTTCAATTTAATACGATTCATTACTTTTTACGTAAAGTATTTATTTCAAATTGCTTTTTTTAAAAACTATTTTTTCTTCATCACTCAAAAGTATGTCTGAATTCTCTTGATAATAAAAATATGTCTTAATAAAGAACGGCATTTAAAATTAACTTGCATAAATTTTATATATAAATAAATCATATAAATAACTTCCATACATAAATTTGCCTATCTAATCTAAATATCTATTAGAATCGGTTAAAAAACTGAAAGCGTCATTTAGCTGAAAATTAATTCAAATCCAGCTTTTTTTCTTTCCTGAAACTGTAATACATTCTGGGTGAAAAAAAATGACTTCCATTATATGCGAGGTGCACAAGATGTACTCAGATGTAGCACTTCTTGTCTTCTTCTCCCATAAATTATTTCTCGTAAACTAATTTGACACTCGTTCCTAAAATAAAATGGAAACGTTATAATGAATGTTACACCGACTATTTCAGCAGACGAATAAACGTTTGGATTTTCATATGTGAACGTAACTGCATTTGATCTCATAAGAGTATTCCTATACTGAAATAGAACTTATTCACTGTTCTGGAGTTTGTAACTTGATCATTGTTCTGGAGTTTACATCTTAGTCATTGTTTTGAAGTTCTAAAAATGTACTGTATAAGTTTGATTTTAACTTAATAAGTGAATCTACTTACAGATTCTTCGACATTTTAATCCGAATTCAAAACCTTCTACACATTTAAAATTAGTCACAACTTGGAAACAAAATGGCTGTTTAAATATTAGCTGCGGCATGCACTCAATAAATATATTTCAAAATTAATTTGCAATGGATATAAGGTACGTATGGAAGAAAAACCTTGGTTATAAAAGTATTCCATTCTTCATCTGTAAACTGAAATGAACATCCAACAATTTTATCGATCATCCATTCAACTTAGACAGAAAGGAACTCTATATGCATAGAGATCAAATGTGGTACGATTTATTAAGGATATGTATGCTTATATATATATACATATATATGTATTGGAAAATGTACATACGAGGGATGATCCCATTTTATGACATTTTTATACCAGGTACTGTTACATGTCATCCCACTGTGTGTTAAGGATTTTGAAATAGTTGTAGTTTTAAAAGTTGATCTAAAACAAAAACTTCGTCCCAAACTTGTGACATCTTGACACTTTTCGTATTTGAAGATTTTGGCTAATTTTTAATTTACAGATCGATTCTTTGTGTTTAAAAATTTGAATCTATGGGATCCAAATCGGGTCCATTTTAAAATTAAAGTAAAGTGATTTAAAACTAACTTTATAGATTGTATATTTTAAAATATGTCTTTGAGTCATTTTGAAATGAGTAACAGAGTTAAAGAGAGTTAATTAAAATCATGTTACAAGTGGTATGTATTCCAACAAGTACTCTGTTTCTTACCTGTATGATAAAAGAATTACTTAGATTTATAATTTAAGTAAAGGATCTAAATTTCCATATTTGAATTATATTCTTTAGGCTTAATGTTCTAAACTGGCACGTTAAAATTTTGTTGTTAGGTTTACGGTTGTAAACTGAATATTAGAACCCCAGTTGTTTAGGATTAAGATTGAAACTCAGTTATTGGAATTATATTGTTTAAATTTAAGAAAGCGCATCTAAACGGCCATAGAGCTCCGATTCTAATCTCAATACTAATGAAAAACGTATTCAAAATGCCGGTTTAAAAGGACAGGAATAGGTCTGTAAACTAAAAGTTTACCTAAAATTTGCAAAATGTCTTCAAAGGTAGATTTCCCGAAATGTGTTCTTTGTGAATCTCCTTCTTATAGTTTTGCTACAAAGGAACATTTTTGACCTCCTTCTGGTGCTTGGTCTTTTGCAGGTGCTTCACAGGTGTGTTCAAACCCAACACGCCAATGTTCGCGAATTTCTGCTAAACGTTTACGAGACTTTTTTCGATACAGAATTGAATAACTAAAAAAGTCAATTTTTATATGAATGAATCTCTCTATATATATATTTAGAAATATATATATATATACATATTATATATTCTTGTTCGTATACATCACATTAATCAATGATGAACGTTTGTGGAGGTTGTTGTTATGACAATGCCTTTTGCTTTATATTTGCTAATCGTACCAAAATTTATCCCAGATGTGAGATCAGGTGGTAAGGAACTTGTTGTAGAATGTGTGTATCGTGCTCAACTTCTAAATAATCGATTTCAGTGAACCACGTACGCAATTGTTCACGTATGCATTAGTAAAATATTTTAAGTAGAAATATTTTTTCAAATTAGAAGCTCAAAATCTGTATTTTCGGATTGGAAAGGACTCTAAATTAAAACCTTTTTCCCTCAGTCCAGATCATACATACAAAACTGTAAATTATAACCCGCTAATAACTATTTTAAATACTTCGTTTTCAGTTGTACTTAAATCAAGTTAAACAATACTTATTATTTATTTTTATTTGTACAATGATCCGCGCAGTGATTTTATTACTTCTGAAAGTTGCCTTTTTGAAAAAAATTCTAGGAAAAGAAAAAACAAAAAATATTAATCCAGTTTAAGGACCTGAACTGGCATATTTAAAATGTGTTATTTAGATTTGAGGATCTAAATAAAAGAATATTAATACTGATTTATTCTTTCTTAGGTCCTTTACTCTATACGTTTTTTTTAAATTTCACTGATTTCCTCAATCGAAAATTTCGATATTACTTACAATACGTACCTATTAATTTAAACCAGTTAGCCAATTATTAAAAAGAACAATAAGCTTTGCCTAGATAATTTATAGCATAGATTATTACACATTTTAATACGGTTTATCAATTTTAAATCATTACTAAAAATATGATTAAAATTTTCTCTGCATGAGGTTTCTTCCACGTTCTTTTATAATAGCGAATATAAAGATAAAAAATTCCTTATCTTTATCAGTCTTATCGAAGCTATTAATTTTTGCTTCACATTAATTGGTTTTTATAAATAAAATATGCTACTATTGTATATGTGAATTTAAAAAAATGAATGTATGCCGTCTAAGATGGCTTCATAACTTTTTTATAAAGAAATGATGCAAGTCAGAAAATTAGTCAAAATTTCAAGCCTGCCTTTTTCAGGATTCAGATTTGCAAGAAATAAATTTTTGAGAACTTAGAATAGTTTTGAATCCAAGCTTTTATTGAAGCCATCTTAAAATGTGAGAAAAGGAACAAATGATAAGTCACTGAGAACTTTTATCTGGGATGTTAAAGGTTCAAATAAATTTTTAATTACACAGTTTTTTACCGTCGGTACCGATATAACTGTTGTGATGTAACTGGTCTCAGTTATGTAGTTTCGATATTTTGTTTCGAACATATTTTTTAGGTGACGAAATAAATACATCGCCAACTTTCACAGGCAATAATATATGTTGGAAGAGTTTGGGAAATCATGGTGGCTTCGGGTTAGAACCCAACCTTGTATTATACAAAGGAGAATTACAGCTGGAAGTTTTAGATTTCTGTGTGTCGCACTTTAAAAAACGTTGTGAATCTCAAAACAGTTTAGTTTCCATGGTGTAATTAGCTTTGTCATCTGGTATGTTTTTTACGCAGTGGCGGGACACTTGCTAGTTAAGCATTCGTCAGACTTCGAAACTGAGATGCGCAGAAAATCGCGTTTTCTCCCTTCTGATTTTTATTTTTGAGGAGTTGTATTTTAATCTATTCAGTTTTCCTTGGATACCAAATCCTTCAGAACAGTTTAATTTATTGTCTGATGCCTGGAAGAATATAAGTAGAATTTAAACTCCTTATGGAAGGGGAAAATAAAACCTTTCCGTAGCTTCAAGTGCGACAATAAAACATATGTGAACTTTTCATTAGACTATAGGCTGGTTAATAAGCATTGTTTGTAATTAAGAAGTCTGTCGAGCTTGACTAGAAATCAGAGATAAAAAAATGAAAATGTTGTTATTGTTATCCACACACAAAACTGTGTATCGCACAGTGAAGTAGACTAGATAAAGAATGTTGACTAGTTACGTTTGGACAAAACGAATTGGAATAACAAAATAAGACCACCTACTTGAATCATATTGTCAATGCACAAACAACCATTTTCATATGCATAAAAAAAGTGCAAGGATCTTCAGTGTGACTTCTTGAATCCAAATCCCTGCATTACTAGTTTAGTCTTCTGGTTTGAAACTAAATTTTTCATTACTTAAGATCGAGTTTCTGTTCTAGAATTCGGTACAACTTCCATGTATCTTCATTCGAAGATTATCTTTTCTTAAAAAAGAAGTTACCATTAATTTTTATTTAAAAAATTTATTTATATTTATTATTTACATCACTTCGGCTATTTAAAAAGAAAAATTTTCAAATAAAAAAATTTTTGATTATGAATATGTTCGAAAGGAATTTTGTTAGATGCTCATTAAACATAAACGAAGAGGCTTAAGTTGTAGAATATACTTCAATAAGAATTTTCATAAAATTTCTTTATTAATTACCATAATTTATTTCTTAAACTGCACAAATTTCACGAATTTCACTTGTTAAGTTTTGGGCATGATTACGTTATTAGCAATCAAGAATTAGTTTACTCAAGCTCCGTTCTAGAGCTCATTTTTATTTCTTCAATTCATGTACCAACTCATTTAAAGAGATGATTCGAAATCTTTGGAGGTGAGTAGGCCAAACTCCTAAAATTGACAGCAATTTCGTAAACACTCGAGTATGATATGGTGCAAAAAGTATTCTTCTTGATATTAAAAAAGAAAAGAGAACGGAGCGTTCCACACCAGTAAATGATTTTGTACCATAAAAAAAAGGATTTCTTTCAAGCCACAAGAATTTACCTCTTGAGTGTGTTTCGTGAAACGTTCTTGAATAACGCATGTCTGCTTTCATGGGAATGTCTGCCCTGACTTGAAGGGATATAGAATGATGACAACTCCTGTGGCATCAGGCATCTGTAATTCCTTCTCGCCAACTATTCTGAGATAGTTCTCTTGATTCGAACTGCGGCTGAGCAGTGGCCGCCATTTCTACTTTGCCGATTGGTTCGTTGTAAATACCACTTAAGATGAACATTAGACTTTTTGACAATTTGTTTAGTCTCTACAATCTGTTTCTGTCTTAGGCCGACCCTACTTAGTCTTTTACTTCTTCGTACTCTTTCAGGAACACTTTATTTCTTCTAACATTTTTTCTAAATGTGAGAGTACAATGATATCTTTAGTGAGTACTAGGTTTTTCTCCTTAGCTTTCTCTTAAGCACTTCGTGGAACGAGGATTATAAACATTCCATTTATGACTATACATAATATTTATAACCTCTAGTCTTAATTATTATACATTATTTATTAAAGACGGCAGAAATATACTGGAATTGAAACTGAAACTGAAACTGAAATCACGACTTCTTTTGAATCTCGTCGAAAACAATAATGGTCTGGCAAAGCATTAGAAATATATACAGAAAGAGAGATAAACATGACTTTATTTTGCACCCACGAAGTCTTTTCGCTTAGTGGCCAAAAAATCAAACTTAGTTGCGAAAGAAAGGTATACCGTAGAGGTTTTAGCAGAATACGTTTAACAGTTAAAGAAATGCGTAAAAAATATAATAGCAACCTCAGTATAAGGAATAAGCGAAAGGATAGGTGCAAAACTTTTAATAAAAAGCCTTAACATTTTCAAGAAGATCGTTAAAGATTAGAAAAGAGAAAAAATTTCAAAAGAATTTAAGTATTCTTTTGGATAAAGTTTGTCGGCTGCATTCAACTGATGTTTCTAAAAATGCGAGATAAACGTTATTCCTGATGAAATTGCTTCATGCAGAAAATGTATGCGACTAAACAAAGCACAAAGAATCTCATTCGCTTATTAAAGCTCTCTCCAAATAAAAAATTGAATAAAATAATTTCACTGTCTTGAAAGAAAATGAACAATTAACTTCACATTTCAAACTCTGCTATCTTTCTGCCGTCTGCATATTTAGCTTATTGTATTATCTGTTATTTATTCCAGATATTCCATGTTAATATATTTATTTATTTATTAAATTTCCGAAAATCCTCGGGATTTTTTCAGGAAATAATAAAAAGAAAAGTGGTCTAAGTGAATTAAGAAACGTAGATGGTTAAACTTCTATGTATTCATGGATTGCTTTTGCTTGCTTTTAAAAAACTGTACATTTCGTAGCAATTTTAAGTCGAATTTTTCCTAATGCTAAGTATGTCATTTGTCAATGTTGTCTTGTTTCCATTAAATCTGTGGCATTTTTCAATTATTTGTGTATGTGTAGGTATACTAAGTATATATAACAGCTCGATTTATTGTTATTTATTAAGCTTGCTTAGGAACTTCTAGTGTCAAATTTACTATAAGTATTTCATTTATTACTTTTCGTGTAACATGCATATTTCTGATACGTTTATATTAGATTTTGGTCCGAAACAGCAGTTGCTTAGCACTCAGCCATGGCACACAGAAATCATATATCTATGCGCTTAATATAAAAATACAAATACAAATAAAAAATTTTAATTTTGTATATTACATATTTCAGAATTAAAAAAAAACATTAAAAACTAAAATTTTCGTTACGGTCCACATCGAAATGGATTTATATCTGAATACCATATGAAGAAGCAATAATTACTGCATAGCTGTTTAAGCATCGTCATAAGCGGATTTTTTTAAAGCATTGGATAACATATTGGCCTTTTTTAATAGTGCGTCTAATCTGAATCGGGTGCATAAAGACAGATGGATTTCGCTAATGTTAAGTAACTGCTGGCATAGGGCCTTTATTATCTACTTGTTTGAATCTTGCAATTTTCAATGTTAGCTACTCCAAGCAGTTTTAATATGTATTTGCTTGTCATGATTTATAATTCGCTTCTTTCGAACCGGAAGTTCAAGTGATCTTTAAAAAAGCGTACTGAAAGTGATGCGGCTGGTGCCTTCGTGTGCGGGGAACGGAGGGACATATTAACCGGATCTCGCTTCCTGAGGAAGTCTGCCACGGAACGAGAACATTCGGTGCATTAAAATCATGTCTTCAAACTTGCAGTCGCAGACAAACCAGCTTGCATTTTCCCCCTTTCGAGTGTTTATGTTCCTTCTTTCAGAAAACCGAAAGGGATTTTTCTACACAAATAATAATCATAAAAAAAGACAGAAGCGAATAATGAAAGAACTGGGAAAAGAAAAATATTCCTTTTTGCAAATGCTGGAAATTGTCACAGTTTGCTAATGCTGAAGATTAAAATAAAAAATACGAAAACAAACTGCATAGGGTGATTGTCTTGCAAATATTTGTACTTTTGCATGTTAAAAATTCAATAAATTTCCGCCTATTGGGAAAAAAAGTATTTGTGTCCTAACTTTTTTATTTACTCCACATGCAATCAACTTCCGATTAATCATGATAAAACTGGAGACAACATCTAGAGTTAACTCCAAAATCCGTTTTAATCACGGTTACAATCAACGGTAAAGTTCACATGTATATTTAAGCAGCTTGATCTAGAGAATAAGTTCATTTGGTTTCTCAAATTACATCAATATCCAAAACAAAAGGAACAAAATGTAAAAAAAAAGGCAGAATAAGCATCATTAGAAATGAAAAGACTGAGTTATAAATAGCATTTTAAGAACAATATTTACAACAGAACTTGAACAGTGTCATGAATTTTAAATTAGCACAAAAAGTTTGGTTAAAACGTTTTGATTTTTATTATACAGTATTTCTACAGTTAGGATAACATATTATTCAATTACAAATCCACATGTATAAAAATAACTTCCGAATTCATCATCTACTATCACTGCTATTATCCCATGACTGTTTTTCTTCCGCAGATATTGTTGGCTTATGATGATATTTTGTGAAAATAATGCTTCCCTCATTTCACAATAAACAGCCATAACTTTTTTTTTTCGACAGGGTCCAGTTAATCTGCCATCCAGTTAATAAAATCACTATTAATCTAGAGTTGACTGCATTCTTTTCGTTCAAGTGTTTTTAAAAATGCTAATATTAACACTTTCTGGTGCTTTTAAGGTGTATATTCTTTTCATGCAAACATACCAAAAACTCTTTAATGCTACATAATTTTTTGAAAGCATAGCAGTAATTTCGTAAGTGAAAAAAATCCAATAAATATGTTCCTATACTGCAAAAATACTTTCTTCTTTTCTTTTTTCTTATTTATGCATATTTTGTTCTGTCATGCAATAAAATATATTGCAAAGCAATGTTATAGCTAGTTACATACTACGTAACCTAACACAAAGTAGTTATTCGGATCCAAAATGTGTTTCAATATATATATATATATATATATATATATAATTATAGGGAATCTTTTGGAAAGAATAAATAAAGAAAAATTAAAATTCTACTGAGCAAGCTTTTATAGTTTGTGTTATTAACTTGAATAAAGATTGAAGGTTAATGAAATGTAAATAAAGCAACGCCTCTCCATCATACAGAGTAAGAACTTCAATAATATGCCATTACTTTTAAAGCAAGAAACAAAGAAATACGAGCAGCGGTAAAACCCTAATTACATAACCGCATAAACGTAACAATGAGAGCAATATGAAATCATGTACCAGAAATGCCACTATATAGTAGTATGAAACAGTCGGTTTGTGGGTAGAAGGTGGTACATGGTGTAACATGCAATCAATTAATCAATGAGGGCAGCGTAAAGGAGATTTTAAAGGGCAGAGCGAGAGAGACTTTTTGATAAGAGATTATCTTTGATTTATTTTTCGACGGCAATTTCCGTTATTATTTTTAACTTATTAGGATTTTTAGCCTTTGTAATTTTCTTCATATATGTCAATTTTAATCGTATTCTTAACAATTTTCGCTCTTGTTTTCGATATTCATCGCTTAATTGCACTCCATTTCTTCAATATTAGACTTTTTTCATAATTTATTCCTTACATTTTATCCAACATACTTATAATTTTAACGTATTTCGCATTTTTTAATTCATAATACTATATCTATTTTTACGTAATCTTAACATTCAAAGTAACTAGATTTTTCTTTATAACCTCTTTAGTAATTTCCAACATACACTCTACTTTAACTTGTTACGTTTTCCAAGTATAATTTTTCAAATAAATGCAATCCATTTAGGTGTTATTATTAACTCCATTCGTATTTTCAGCCTTAATAATTCAATTATAATTTTTATTTTACTTGTAGGGTTTATGTTTATTTTAACTAACATTTATTTTAAGTTTAAACTATCTTTTCTGTCAAGCCTTACTTTCCCCTGGAACTGCCAATGCCAGAGTATGTAAATTTTAGTAGAACGCGCAAGGATTCAAATTATCAGCGGAAGTATTCTGAGTTAAATAGAAAGGAAACGAGTTCGAAGTGTGCTTTTCTTGCTTCACGAGCGCGGAGGTAGTTAGTTAGAAATTGAAGAACCACGCGTTTCGGCCTGTGTGCTTGCCTCGGCGAATTGTTAATCTTTCAACGTAATATTCAGAGTTTGCTGAATTATCAGCGGTACTTTAGAACGCGGTGAGGTTAGTTACGTTTAGAGAGCCTCATAGTTAGTCGTTTGTTATTATCTCTTTTATTTTCTTATTTTTATTTTACCGCCGGGTCGGCGTAGTTTGTGAGCGTCAAGAGCACGCATTTGTAATTTCTAAAGTTGAATAAAAAGGGACTTAAACCCTTCTCAAGACTCTGTCTAATTTCCAGTTTTCAGCAGTCACCACTTTGTTGCGTGCAGGTTGGAAGCGCGCAACTTTACATTGGCGCCCGAACACTTGTCGAACTGAAATGGCCGAAAATTGGATGGAAGCCGCGGGACAACAACAAGAAATGGCAAGCCAATTGGAAGGATTTGGATACCTGGTCCAGACTTTGAGAGCGTCAATCAAGCCAAACGTCAATTTCGACGGAAAAAAAATTCGGTGGCGATATTTCTAGAAGGCCTAGACAATCACTTTCAGCTCTACCCTGTGCCTGAAAGACAAAAAGTTGCCATCGCCACATCTGCACTAAGAGGACAGGCCGCGCTATGGTGGAAGAATATAGGCAAATTTTTATTAGGGGAATTTGGAAGGCCAGACATATACATTTGAAAATTTCAAAAAATCGTTATTAAAGGCCTTCCCCATAGTGAAAGATCGAGCAAGGCTGGAAGCCGAACTATATAGTTTCTATCAACGGGATATATAGAAGTTGACGGACTTTATTCTGCGAAAAATTAAGCTGACGGATATGCTGTATGGGAAGAAACCCGATGCGGAGATTATTGAAATAATCTTACCAAGATTGTTACCACCCTGCTGTTCAAGACTACTTCGAAATTAGAAACCCAAGCACATTGCAGGAGCTCTTCGAATTGGCGGTGAAGTTTCAAAATCGCAGAATAGCGGAAAAAGCTAGAGGGGCAATCGTATTCTCAAAGTATCCGAAGGCAATCTTCAAATGAAGCAGACCAGAAATGCAAATCGCTCTTATGGGGGAAAGAGCTATCAAGCTAACTCATCGAAACTCGAAGGTCAAGGCCCAAAAAGGAAATTTCGAAAACAAACATCCGCGTACCCAGAAGGCAGAATTGAAAGGAAAGCTTTAAACGAGTAGAGGGGCCTGTGAAAGGCGAGGGTCCAGACCCCGGAAGTTTTAAAAAAACCCTCAAAAAGACATTTAAATACGGTCATCGTAAAAAACTCACATCTACCAATTATACAAGTCCTGGTTGGCGATGTACCAGTAGAAGCCCTCATCGATACAGGAGCAGAAGGTAATTTTATGAGTGAAAATTTCTTCAAAAAGAATTTTTATAGGTTACGATTATTTAAAAACCAAAAATACGGAAATTATAGCGGCGCAAGGAAAAACCTGTCACTGCATCGGGAAATTATCATTAAACATACAGGTAAAAGAGGAAAGCCTCAAAGTATTAATTTTTGTAGTGAAAAATCTGCAAAATCCTCTTATTTTAGGTATGGAGTTTTTAAGGGCCGCGAGGGCCAAATTGAATTTTCAAGACAGTTCCGTTGTGCTGGAGATGGACCAGAGGGTGGTGGAACCTGTGGACAACCGCAAGTTGGACCTTAGCCATTTGAATGACCATGAAAGTCAAGCCATCCAGCAAGTGGTGAGTAATTTTTCAAACTTGTTTTCAGAAAAGGCCTGGAAAGCTGTCAAATAGTTACGCATCAAGATACAAGTTAACTGCCGAAAAACCTTGTAGGACTAAACCTTATCGTTATGATAAACAAAAAGACGTAATCATCGAAGAACATATTCAGGAGATGTTAAAGAATAAAATAATAACGCCCATAAATAGTGAGTACGCGAGTCCAGTCGTACTATGTAGGAAAAAGAACGAGTTTCCTCCTTCGGATAAAAGGGCTTGGAGGTTTGCTATCGATTACAGAAAACTAAATAGTAGTACTAAATTCCCAGTTTACCCTTTGCCGGTTATAGAGGAAATTATTAGAAAGATCAAATCTACAAGATACATGTCTACTTTGGACTTAACGTCTGGCTACTATCAAATAGCTATGAGACCCGAAGACATACATAAAACCGCGTTTATAACAAAATCGGGCACTTATGCATTTTTACGCATGCCCTTTGGGTTGTGTGGGGCCCCATCAACATTCCAGAGAGCTATGGACATTGTTCTAAAGCCTGTCCTAGGAAAATCAACTTTAATCTATCTAGATGATATAATTATAACGAGTAGTACGTTGGAACAACATATTAAAGATCTAGAAGAAGTTTTTAAATTATTAAAAGAGGCCGGTCTTACAATTAACGCCTCAAAATGCAAGTTCGCAACTAAAGAACTTAAATATCTGGGTTATAAAATTTCGCAAAAGGGTATAGAAACGCAAGATTCAAAAATAAAAGCAATCAAGAATTTCCCACCGCCCAACACCGCCAAGAAACTTTCTTCTTTCCTTCCTTGGGTTATGTTCTTACTATCGGTCTTTCATAAAAGATTTCGCTAATATTGTTGAACCACTGTTAGTAATTAAAAGAAAGAAAAGTAAATTTACGTGGACAGCGGAAGCAAATACCGCATTTGAAAGATTAAAAGAAGCGCTCATCAATGCCCCTGTTTTGAAATTCCCGGAGGGGGACGAAAACCTGGAAATTGCAGCAGATGCGTCGGACTATGCGGTGGGTGCGGTTCTTATGCAAAATAGCCATCCTCTGGCATTTTTTAGTAAAACGTTGAATCAGACACAAAGGAATTATACAGCTACAGAGAGAGAAACATTAGCCGTATTAATGGCTGTACACAAATTTCGAGTTTATTTCGGCAAAGCGCCAGTAACAGTCTTTTCGGATCATGCGGCTGTTGGTAGACTTTACTCG